GGAGAAGGTTACAGGGAGGGGGGAGAAGAAGAGAAGATTACAGGGGAGAAGAAGAGGAGAACACGGGGAGGGGGGAATAAGAGGAGAACACGGGGGGTGGGAGATGAGAACGTAGGGGAGGGAGAGACCACTAAAGGAGGGAGGGGGCGGTGGAGAGACCGCTAAAGGAGGGGGGTGGAGGATAGACCACTAGGGGAGGGTGGGGGAGAGGAGTGACCACTAATGGAAAGTCGGGGAGAAAAGGAGACCACTAAGGGAGGTGGGGGGGAGAGGAGAGACCACTAAGGGGCGGGGGAGATCTCTAAGAGAGAGCTCTATAGGACAGGGGGCAGGACAGGGAGCTCTTTCACACCACGCGCAAACACACACACAATGCATCCCTATACACACAGAAACACAACATGCTTCCCTTACACACAGAGAAACACACAATGCAACCCTTAGACATAAAGACAATGCATCCTTTGCACACATACACAGAAACACACAATGCATCCCTTACACACATATGCAAACACACACTGCTTCTCTTACACACACACAGAAACACAATGCATCTCTTACACACACTCAACGCACCCCTTACAGACAAACACACAATACATCCCGTATACACAAACACTCACTGCTTTCTATCCCTTACACACAAACACACTGCATCACCTACACAAACTGGTATCCCTATACACTACATTCCATAAGCACACACATTAGATCCTCTACAGTAACACATAACACATCCCCTACACACTCTACTCCCTGTGAGCGGACTCATGTAGGTGGACTTATGGGTGGGCTTTATGGGCATACTCACCGTCAGGCCCTGGGGCCCAGACCTTGAGCTATGTAAGAGGCCCCACAAAATTGAGCTGCTTCCCGTTCTCCCAGAACATTGAATTTTGTGACCACAGTTACAAACAGCCTCCAGAGATCCTGTTCTACACCAGACCAGTGGAGCCAGACTGCAGCCACAGCCCATCATCATCCTCATCTGATTGTAAGTAGGCAATCTAGTATATTATTAGTGACACTAATCTCTAATTTACCTCACAATAAATGGACACTATAGTCCCCAGAACCACTGCAGCTTAATAAAGTTGTTCTGGTTTCTATAGTTTGTCCCTGCAGGCTTTTTAATGTAAACACACACTGTGTGCAGCACTGGCACTAGTTCATATGGCAGATCATATGGGTGGGGCATTGCGAGGCCCCGGCGGGGGAGGGGGGGGAGGGCGGCAAATCTTTCTTTTGCCTAGGGCGGCAAAAATCCTTGCACCGGCCCTGGTGACATGTCATGATTCCCTTTTATTCCAGAAGTGTGGTCCTTAAGGGGTTAAAATGTCAAGTGGTGCATACCCTTTAAAGATCATATATTGAAAAGATTATATAACAAATAAAGGGATATATAGTACTGAAAAAGCAAAACAAGTAGGACATTTCATGCTGTTCTATAGGATCCAGGTTGTAAACCTTAAGAATGTGGTCTTCAAGGGTTCATTTTAAGAGGGATAATGTAGGCATGCCCCTATATATTAGGTGCAACGTGTAGGTTAGTCCAGAGGCTCCCAGTGTTTGTAAGACACAAGAGTGATTTGGAAATGGTTATATCCTGGACTGTTGGTGTCCTTTGAGGACTGGGTACCAAACGCTGCTGATAGTTACACTTGAAAATAACAGCTAAGTGGTCTTCCTCAAGACTAATTTGTTGCCTTTACAGTAGGTATTGTGAAAACATCCTCAAATTAATTTAAGCTATATATATATACAGGGAGTGCAGAATTATTAGGCAAATGAGTATTTTGACCACATCATCCTCTTTATGCATGTTGTCTTACTCCAAGCTGTATAGGCTCGAAAGCCTACTACCAATTAAGCATATTAGGTGATGTGCATCTCTGTAATGAGAAGGGGTGTGGTCTAATGACATCAACACCCTATATCAGGTGTGCATAATTATTAGGCAACTTCCTTTCCTTTGGCAAAATGGGTCAAAAGAAGGACTTGACAGACTCAGAAAAGTCAAAAATAGTGAGATATCTTGCAGAGGGATGCAGCACTCTTAAAATTGCAAAGCTTCTGAAGCGTGATCATCGAACAATCAAGCGTTTCATTCAAAATAGTCAACAGGGTCGCAAGAAGCGTGTGGAAAAACCAAGGCGCAAAATAACTGCCCATGAACTGAGAAAAGTCAAGCGTGCAGCTGCCACGATGCCACTTGCCACCAGTTTGGCCATATTTCAGAGCTGCAACATCACTGGAGTGCCCAAAAGCACAAGGTGTGCAATACTCAGAGACATGGCCAAGGTAAGAAAGGCTGAAAGACGACCACCACTGAACAAGACACACAAGCTGAAACGTCAAGACTGGGCCAAGAAATATCTCAAGACTGATTTTTCTAAGGTTTTATGGACTGATGAAATGAGAGTGAGTCTTGATGGGCCAGATGGATGGGCCCGTGGCTGGATTGGTAAAGGGCAGAGAGCTCCAGTCCGACTCAGACGCCAGCAAGGTGGAGGTGGAGTACTGGTTTGGGCTGGTATCATCAAAGATGAGCTTGTGGGGCCTTTTCGGGTTGAGGATGGAGTCAAGCTCAACTCCCAGTCCTACTGCCAGTTCCTGGAAGACACCTTCTTCAAGCAGTGGTACAGGAAGAAGTCTGCATCCTTCAAGAAAAACATGATTTTCATGCAGGACAATGCTCCATCACACGCGTCCAAGTACTCCACAGCGTGGCTGGCAAGAAAGGGTATAAAAGAAGAAAATCTAATGACATGGCCTCCTTGTTCACCTGATCTGAACCCCATTGAGAACCTGTGGTCCATCATCAAATGTGAGATTTACAAGGAGGGAAAACAGTACACCTCTCTGAACAGTGTCTGGGAGGCTGTGGTTGCTGCTGCACGCAATGTTGATGGTGAACAGATCAAAACACTGACAGAATCCATGGATGGCAGGCTTTTGAGTGTCCTTGCAAAGAAAGGTGGCTATATTGGTCACTGATTTGTTTTTGTTTTGTTTTTGAATGTCAGAAATGTATATTTGTGAATGTTGAGATGTTATATTGGTTTCACTGGTAATAATAAATAATTGAAATGGGTATATATTTGTTTTTTGTTAAGTTGCCTAATAATTATGCACAGTAATAGTCACCTGCACACACAGATATCCCCCTAACATAGCTATAACTAAAAACAAACTAAAAACTACTTCCAAAAATATTCAGCTTTGATATTAATGAGTTTTTTGGGTTCATTGAGAACATGGTTGTTGTTCAATAATAAAATTAATCCTCAAAAATACAACTTGCCTAATAATTCTGCACTCCCTGTATATATATATATATATATATATAAACATAAATGTACACACACATACATATACACAACATCAGAGAAAATGCAGTGTTTACATTTCCCCCTAGGGACACCTCCAAGTGGCCACTCCTTAGATGGCCACTAGAGATACTTCCTGGTAGCACTGCCGTTCAGCGGCTCCACGCTCTGCATGGAGATGCTGATTGGCCAAAATTGCATTTGGCCCAGCCTCCTTGCTGATTTTAACCAATCCAATGCTTTCCCTGTGGCTAAAAATAGTCAATGCTGATGGAGTCATCAAGAAGGCGGAACGGGGGCGGCGCCAGTGCCAGCCAACCCACGCTGCACTAGAAAGAAGGTATACATGTTTGTCTTCTTGACCCTGAGTGTTCCTTTAAGACACACATACAAAATAGCAAAGTACAAAAATTAAGACCATAAAACAAAAACAAAAAGTATATAGATCACAAGCAAGCTGGGCTAATGACCAAAACAAAGAGTCAGTATCACACGTTTACTAGCAGCTTCCTGTCCCTGTGATGCCCTCTTGCCTATTTAACATGAAATATGTTGTAGTTGCTCATTTGACATCACAGACATAGCATAATTTGAGATGCATCACACATTTTATATATATATATATATATATATATATATATATATATATATATATATATATATACACGGCTCAAAAAAATAAAGGAAACACAATGTAACTCCAAGTCAATCACACTTCTGTGAAATCAAACTGTCCACTTAGGAAGCAACACTGAGTGACAATCAATTTCACATGCTTTTGGGCAAATGAGATAGGCAACAGGTGGAAATTATAGGCAATTAGCAAGACACCCCAAATAAAGGAGTGGTTCTGCAGGTGGTGACCACAGACCACTTCTCAGTTCCTATGCTTCCTGGCTGATGTTTTGGTCACTTTCGAATGCTGGCGGTGCTTTCACTCTAGTGGTAGCATGAGACGGAGTCTACAACCCACACAAGTGGCTCAGGTAGTGCAGCTCATCCAGGATGGCACATAAATGCGAGCTGTGGCAAGAAGGTTTGCTTTGTCTGTCAGCGTAGTGTCCAGAGCATGGAGGCGCTACCAGGAGACAAGCCAGTACATCAGGAGACGTGGAGGAGGCCGTAGGAGGGCAACGACCCAGCAGCAGGACTGCTACCTCCGCCTTTGTGCAAGGAGGAACAGGAGGAGCACTGCCAGAGCCCTGCAAAATGACCTCCAGCAGCCCACAAATGTGCATGTGTCTGCTCAAACGGTCAGAAACAGACTTCATGAGGGTGGTATGAAGGCCCGACGTCCACAGGTGGGGGTTGTGCTTACAGCCCAACACCGTGCAGGATGTTTGGCATTTGCCAGAGAACACCAAGACTGGCAAATTCGCCACTGGCGCCCTGTGCTCTTCACAGAGGAAAGCAGGTTCACACTGAGCACATGTGACAGACGTGATAGAGTCTGGAGACACCGTGGAGAACGTTCTGCTGGCTGCAACATCCTCCAGCATGACCGGTTTGGCAGTGGGTCAGTAATGGTGTGGGGTGGCATTTCTTTGGGGGGCCACACAGCCCTCCATGTGCTCGCCAGAGGTAGCCTGAGTACCATTAGGTACCGAGATGAGATCCTCAGACCCCTTGTGAGACCATATGCTGGTGTGGTTGGCCCTGGGTTCCTCCTAATGCAAGACAATGCTAGACATCATGTGGCTGGAGTGTGTCAGCAGTTCCTGCAAGACGAAGGCATTGATGCTATGGACTGGCCCGCCTGTTCCCCAGACCTGAATCCAATTGAGCACATCATGTCTCGCTCCAATGTCACGTTGCACCACAGACTGTCCAGGAGTTGGCAGATGCTTTAGTCCAGGTCTGGGAGGAGATCCCTCAGGAGACCATCCGCCACCTCATCTGGAGCATGCACAGGCATTGTAGGGAGGTCATACAGGCACGTGGAGGCCACACACACTACTGAGACTTACTTTGAGTTGTTTTAAGGACATTACATGAAAGTTGGATCAGCCTGTAGTGTGTTTTCCACTTTAATTTTGAGCGTGACTCCAAATCCAGACCTCCATGGGTTGAAAAATTTGATTTAAATTTTTGTGTGATTTTGTTGTCAGCACATTCAACTATGTAAAGAACAAAGTATTTCAGGAGAGTATTTAATTCATTCAGATCTAGGATTTGTTATTTTTGTGTTCCCTTTATTTTTTTGAGCAGTGTATATATATATATATATATATATATATATATATATATATATATATATATATAAATATAAATATACACACACACACACACACAATAAAGTGCTTTAAACTGTTTTTTTGTTTTTGCTTTTTGTCTTCTTATGGATCAACAGCAAAAACTAATGTGAGAAAGGCTGAACTTAATGAACAAATGTCTCTTTTCAGTTATGTAATATATAATAATAACAAAGTGTTTAACAAGAAAAGGTACATACAGAGTAATCTGGTTTCCAAGTACGTCCTAGAGAATATATAAACACACATCCACAGATATATATCTATCTAAATATACATACATACACACGATAATGTGTGATCTATATATATATATATAGATCACACATTATCGTGTGTATGTATGTATATTTAGATAGATATACATCACATACACACACATACATACACACACAAACACACACTCATTCAGATTTAACTGGTGCAGGGTTCTGTAACCTTAATTACTAAGTAAATTAAATGGAAAACTGGAAATTGCCTGTCAGCGAAACAGTCAACAAGCCCAATACTGCTATTTTTATTTATTAGAACACAGAATGAAATCATGATTTCACTAATTAAAGGTACAAAAAACATAATACAAACAACTTTTAAGGCCTGTAGTGAATGAGGGAATATGTCCTTACTGGAGAGAATAGGAAGCAAAACTGACAATTATACTAGTTATGGCTGTAAGGTTAAGAATAGTTCAATAATTATATGTGTTTCATATGTTGACAATTGCATCTGGGCCATTAAAAGATAGCAAACACTTCTTGCGTCACTGCAGTGACTTTGATAAAGAAAGACACAGGCAGGCTGGAGTGTTAATATTCCATCTGCAGAGCTACATTAAGAGCAGAGAAGCCCTGATTATTCAATCAATCTTATTAATATTCATTAGAGATGATAAATATTCATTGCCCTGTTTTAGACGACTTGTTTCTATGGAAACGAGCTACCCCAACCCCCCCCTCCACCCTGCCCCAAACAAACACATAGCTCTGTCACAGCACCTCAATCAGGCACAGATGTACCCTCTGATATTACTGCAACTCCCCCACAAAGCTACAATGCACCTCAATCATACCAAGCCTGTTGTCAGCAATAGAGACAAGTGTCATATATGTGTACATGTATGAGGTATTCATAATGAAATGTTTACAAAAGGTACACCGAGTGTGTATAGGTGAAGTTCAAAATGTATGATTATGACATGCCTGTGTGTGTGTGTGATATATTCTGCAGTTCTTTTTGTTTGGCATTTATCAGGCTTTGGCTTTTTGAAGCATATTTAAATATTTATTGCCAAGGTGCTATATGCATATAATTAAAAGCGATAAAAAGGATCAATTTGAAGATTTCTAATTCCCCCTTTTAGGTACTTCTATTTGTCACAAGCCAATTAATGGTTCATGTGCGTACAAGCCTTGCATGACCATCCACAGACTGACAGACATGTATTTATATAAGAAGTGTGTTTTCTTCCTTACAGTAAATTCAAATGATGGATCTGGTTTACACATGTATGTAATTTACATTTACAGTAAAGCTGTTTCATTCGCACTACACAAGCCACTATCATGCCAATATTAACCTGACATCACTGCGTTGTGAGAAATGATTTCAAGGCTTAAATGTGCCACAATTAACCTGAGGCATGAGTGAACAGAATGCAGATTGTGGGCATGACAAATACACAAAGAAGATCTTGGTAAGGTTCCAGGAAGCAAATGAGTATACAAAATTGTACTTTTATAAGGACTTCAAATCTAATCTGGAACATGTTTATGCCTGTATTTTAGAAACACTCCCTCCCAGAGTGTATGGAGGATAGCTTTTCTATAATCTCCGTGACAACTACTGCATGATCGTTTAGCAGAATAATGATATTAAAATACTTGCAGCACACCTAACAGTCTACCATTGTTGATTAGCCTGGATAAGGAATGGAATGTACTTTTCATTTTATAATGTTGATATTATCATTTTACTATGGAAAAGGAAAAATAAAACCCCTAGGACGCCAACAAAAATTAAAGGAGCAGTCTAGACACATTAATCACTATATGCCAGTGTAGTGGGTCAAACAGTATCCTGACCAAAATTAGGAGTTCTAAAGCCACCCGCTTGCTCCACTGTTGGTTAACAATGAAGTTCCAAAATAACGTAGGTTTGGAAGAGATGTTGTGGTGCATGAAAGCTTGTGAACTCTTCTGATTTATCTGTAATCTTGAAACAATTTGACCTTAAAATGTGATCAACAAATTAATCAAGTCACTATGATAATCATGGAGGTTTAGATGCTTTTTCCAACAAAGACAATGGGAGAGATATATCAAAAAGTTGAACAAAAGTGTAAAATAGTAGGAGTCACTAATGGAATGTGCTGGATGATTTCACTGGTTTCCATGGTGATTGCCCCACTTTAAGACCAATTTTTGAACTGAACACAATCATTTCCCCACTGCATTTAACAAAGACATGTAAACGTAACAATATTTTATGTCTTCCCATTTAAATACAATTCTCTTAATATATTGTCGGGCCTTAGATGGCTTGAAGATGGAGTTATTTTCGGTCTACTAATGGATACTTCTAATGTGTCTTGGATTCAAAGGGCAGTCGTGAACCAAGACATGTATCCTGCTTTTCTAACTTATTTCTCTGTTGCTCAACTTCCAGTTCAGGGACACCAAGAAATACAGCTGTATTATTAAAGATGCAATTGCTGCACCTTTGGCAGAGATCTGGTTGACTGACATGTTTCCATTACCAGCCAGCTCCCCTGCATGTCAGCATTGAGTGTAACTTTTTATCAGCTAACAAGCCACATCTTTTGTCCACACCCTAACATATCCAGGCTTCGTACCTTCAAAATGAATTATTAAACTAGAAACGTGTTACAGTCAGGTAATGGACCAATTATAGGGAGGAAATCTGCATGGTATATATAAAACACGTTCATAGTGCTTTACATGGACAGAATGTGCTACTATTAGACACTAGCTGGACACAGTGATATTAAATCAAAATTTCTTCATCTTGGCCTTTCCTTCAAAACATTGATTGTGATTTTTTTTTATTCCCACGATGAAGCACATCCCCCACTGGGCTTAATTAATAATTGTTATGCAAATATTGATGTTTAGCACGTGCTCTGCATTGCATAATGTTTTACGTTAGCACCAAACAGCTATTAAATCCAGCCACATTTCATTTGGTTTCTTGAATAAATTAGCATTTTCTGCACACAATCATCAATATAAGCAATATTAGTTGAGTCACCTGTGCTTCTACTATTTCTCTCCCTATGTCCCGTAGTAAGACCAGCAACTATGCATTTCATTTTCCAGATTAAACATACTTCTAATGGTGACGTAAGTAAAACAAAGACAACCTGAGTCTTAACGCATGCCATTTGTTTTAATGGTTATGTTGCATGGGGTCTTTGGTTGTAGTCCTTACATTTTCTGTCAAACTGATTTACAGCAGGATTCTTCTGGTACGCAAATCCTGACCTGACTACATTACAGTTGTATAAGTTTCCATGTGAAACACTGGTTTTATCAACAAAATTTGACACTGCATGGCTTCACAGATAACATTTATGGCATATATAAAGCCAGCCTGACTCACATGGATGACTTGACTACATATGGATTCCACTAGAAAAATAGTCTATGTTCAGGTATATTCCCAACTTGAACTAGGACACAACCTGCTGGCATCATTAACGGGTTATTACAAGCACCATGAGCACATGTAATGTGCAGCGTCATTAGTGTATACCAAAACGAAGATTTTAGACTGGCTAATGTCACTTCTGTGCAAAATTGGCATTTGTGGCTTCTGTCCTCCCTTCCTCTTCATTGAAGGGGAGTGACGTTAGCCAAGGAGCATCGAACT